CCCGCCTCCCCCCGCCCCCATCTCCCCCCCCCCCTGACGAGCCTAGTTTAAAGCCCGCCAGAGGAGATCCGCCAACCTAGAAATATATATGCACATATATATATATATATATATATAAACATATATACATATATATATATACATATATGTATGTATATATATATGTATGTGCGTATATACACACACACCAGCATATGTGTGTGTGTATTTATGTTTTTATATAGCTATAAAAATATAAAACATAAAATATAAAACATATAAACATATACAATATATAAATATACACATACGTGCACACACACGTGTGTGTGTGTGTATATTTATGTTTTTGCAAAGATTTGTATATTTCTGTGTATATATATATGTATGTGCGTATATACACACACACCAGCATATGTGTGTGTGTATTTATGTTTTTATATAGCTATAAAAATATAAAACATAAAATATAAAACATATAAACATATACAATATATAAATATACACATACGTGCACACACACGTGTGTGTGTGTGTATATTTATGTTTTTGCAAAGATTTGTATATTTCTGTGGGGGTGAGGAGGATCACAATTTTTGTACTCCTTGATTAAATTATATCAGGGACTTCAAACTCGCTATGGGCCCTTGACTAAATCCAGACCACAGGGCTTCTCCTGGGCTGAATCTATGGAGTCAGCAGCAGCAGCAGTGGATCTGGGCCCAGAGCCTGCAGCCTTGGTCCAGGGATGAGAGAGCAGGCAGTGATGCTGGTCAGGGATTGGGCAGCAGTGCTGGTGGGGGAGCAGGCAGTAGTGTGGATCCAGAGGTGGGCAGCAGCCTGAGTGGAGGATTGGATGGCACCATGGGTTCAGGATTAGGCAGCGGTGTGCACCTGGGGTCAAGCAACAACATGTGTGGGGGACTGGGTGGCACTATGGGCTCAGGAAAGGGCAGAGGCATGGATCTAGGGGCAGGCAGCAGTGTGGGTCCAGCAATGGGTGGCAGTATGGTCTAGGGGCAGGCAGCAGCAGGGTAAGTGAGGGCTGTGTCTGCACAGCCCTTGGTTGCCCCCTGACACTGATGGCAATGTCCATCAGGGTCCAGGGCCCCCAATTTTTGTGGCAGGACATGCTCCAGTAGCCATGCCCCCCCAAATTCTGGTAGCTTGCTGCATTACCGTTGAGTGAGATGGAACAGTTCTGGCCCACAGGCCGTATGCTTGATGCCCCTGTTCTATACCATTTATCTTTATAGGGAAGACAGAAACTTGAGTTCAATGATGTTAGAACCCAGAAATCAATGGGGGACTCAACAAATGGGGTTTCTCTCTTATATAACTATAGGCCAGTCAGTCTTACCTTGATCATGGGTAAGCTTTTTGAGAGATTTATCCTGGCGCATGTCCGTGAGGGGCCAGCGGGGGAGATTATGCTTAGGGGCAACCAACATGGGTTCATTAGAGGCAGGCCCTGTCAGACCAACCTGGTGGCCTTCTATGACCAGGTCACAAAATCCTTAGACGCAGGTGTAGCAGTGGATGTAGTCTTTCTGGACTTTAGGAAGGCCTTCAACACTGTCTCTCACCCCATTCTCATTAAAAAACTAGGGGACTGTGGCGTCGACACCTACACAGTCAAAAGGGGCCCCAAACTGGCTGGAGGGCCACATCCAGAGAGTGGTGGTGGATGGGTCTTATTCGACCTGGAGGGATGGGGGCGCGGTCCTCGGGCCTGCACTGTTCAACATCTTCATCAGCGACTTGGATGATGGGGTAAAAAGCACCCTGTTTGAATTCACAGACAACACTAAGATGTAGGGAGAAGTGGGCACGCTAGAAGGGAGGAATAGGCTGCAATCAGACCTAGACAGGTTACAGGGGTGAGCGAATGAGAACAGGATGGGTTTCAACACTGACAAGTGCAAGGTGCTGCACCTGGGGAGGAAGAACCAGCAGCATACCTACAGGCTGGGGAACTCCCTTCTTGTCAGTGCAGAGGCAGAAAAGGATCTTGGAGTCACTATTGATGCCAAAATGAACATGGGCCGACAATGTGGGGACGCGGCCAGGAAGGCCAACCACACCTTGTCATGCATCCACAGATGCATCTCAAGCAGGTTCAAGGAGGTGATCCTCCCCCTCTGTGCGACACTGGTCAGGCCGCAGTTGGAGTACTGTGTCCAGTTCTGGGCGCCGCACTTCAGGAGGGATGTGGACAGCATGAAGAGGGTCCAGAGGAGGGCCACCCGCATAATCAGGGGGCAGCAGGGCAGGCCCTACGAGGAGAGGCTACAGGACCTGAACCTGTTCATCCTTCACAAGAGAAGGCTGAGGGGGGATCTAGTGGCCATTTACAAACTGGTCAGGGGGGACCAGCAGGCACTGGGGGGAGTTCCTGTTCCCCCGAGCGCTACCAGGAATGACTAGAAATAACGGTTGCAAGCTGGCAGAGGGTCGATTCAGGCTAGATATCAGGAGGTGCTACTTCAGTCAAGGCGGCCAGGATCTGGAACCAACTTCCGAGAGAAGTGGTGCTGGCTTCTACCCTGGGGGTCTTTAGGAGGAGGTTGGATGAACACTGTGCCGGGGTCATTTGACCCCAGTACTCTTTCCTGCCACAGCAGGGGTCAGACTTGATGGTCTGCTCAGGTTCCTTCCGACCCTACCAACTATGAAACTATAACAGCAATAGTTTGTTACCATTGCACTTGGGTTGTATATTTTGAGAGTCAGTAATTATTGCATATCGTTTGGGTGAACAAACCACAATGGAATATTTTGATGTTGCAAGGAAACAGAAAAACATGCTATTAAGATCACGGTGGCTCCCCACCAGATTCATCTTATGATTCTGGATTCTCCCTGCAAGTAGGAGTTAGGACACAGGAAGCCTGCAATCAGCTGAATGAAGTGCAGGTTCCTATGCTCATGAAAATTCCCAAAAGGGAATTGTCTTGAAGATAGGAAGAAAGACTTCTGGGTAGCCAAGTTACAGAGTCCTGCTTAGGAGCATGACAGAGATGAATCCATGCAATCTGAATCCTTTCTGGACTATATTTAATTCCTGCTTCCATTGGTTTCTTGTCTCCTCAGGGAGATACCTGTGCTGTAATATGGTATGTCTCAAAGCTCTTGGGCTTTCTTCTGACATGACTTTCAAATGTTTTCTTGTTAGACCTTGGAAGAAGTGTTCTCTCGATGCTCTACAAGCCCTATCTATTATGCTAGGATTTACCACCTGAAAGCCTATGTTTTTCTGATGTTGGGTCATGAAGAGCAGAGTCAGTTCTACCTGGAGAAGGGGCTGGAAGTCAGTGACATGTATGGTAACTTTTTGGAGAGGTCCTGGCTGGAGATAAGCGATGTAAGTTTAAAAAATGGGTAACCTATAAACTCTTTTCTTAGGGCATGTGTAGATGACACAGGGGCCCTAAATTGAAGTGGTGGGTTTTTAAAAACACCGCTTCAATTTAGGGTCCTTTAAACCCCCATGTCATGCAGGGGAGGGGAGGGCAAGCTACCGGCAGGCGAAGGTCCCTGGGTTGCAGGGCGGGGCTGATGCTTCCTTCCATGGCAGTGGTGGCCCCCCACAGGCAGCACTCATCTACAGGCACTTGGCTCAAGGAGTCCTGGGGGACACTGCAGCCTCAGAGGGAAGCACTGGGCCCCCTTGCAGATCAGGCAAGCAGGCTCGGTGGGGGGAATTCAGGCTCACTTCTTTTTGGGGGGGGGGGGGGGGGGGCGGCCGCTT